TTCTTTTTATAGCAGGCATTTTTATATTAATTTTTGCTTTATTATCTTAAGAAATAATAATTAAATTATCTAGAAAGTTTTTTGCAAAAAATTTTGTTATATTAGATAATAATACTTAATAATATATACTTTATTTTAGTTTAAGTTATTAAATTAATTATAATTTGAGCTAGATAATAATATTATTTAATAATAAAAGTATTTATATATTATAAATGAAGATATATAAATAGAATTTATCTTGAAGAATAGATTTAAATTTTTTTTGAGTTTCTTTTTTAAATTTTTTATTATTTTTACTTTAATTATACTCTTTTTTTATTTTATAAATATTATTCTGAATTTAATATAATTATGAATATTATTTTACAAATTAAGATAAATAATAATAGCTGATAGATATCTTAATTTATTATAAATTTTAATAATTTTTTCTTCTAGATTTATTATTTTTTTTAAAAGTTTAGCTTATATAATAGTATAATATTTAAAGTTTATTAATCTTTTCTTTATTTATTAATTTTGTTATTAACTTTTTCTAATTTTATTTATAAGTTATATTAAAAATTAGTATTATTAGATATATTTATTATTATTATTTTTTTGAGTCTTAATTATATTTCTTATTATATATTTTTAATTAGTAATATTTAGTACAAATTTAATTATGCTAAAAGATAGTTATTCAAGAATAAATTGAATTATTAACATCTTATTAAAAATAGATATTTATAATATATATTATTAATAGATCTGAATTATTAAGAAAATAAAATTAAAAAATATTTTTATTTCTTTTTCAATGTATTTTATATTTCTTTTTTAATTTCTTTTTATACAAGATTATATTCTTTCAGATTTTTTTATTTTAAGAGATCTAAAATAAATTAAGTATATATAAGTATATATTATAATATTTCTGAAAGATATTTTTTGACTTTTTATAAAAAAATAATTTTAAAAAGTTAGATATTAAGAGAAAGCTTTATATTATAAATAATTATATAATATATCTAAAAAAATTATAAAATATATTTATGAAAAAGTATTTATAATATAATATATGATTTAAATATTTATAGAGATATTTATAAAATAATTTATTATATAATAAGATAATTTATAAATAATATAGTAACTATTGATAGATAATTTATTATATAATAGATATGGTTTATAATATAATAAGTAAATTAATAAAACTATAAACTTATAATTATATAATTTTGTTATTTTCTTATAAAATTAAAATCAGAATTATTTATTAAAATTAGTATTATTAAATAGATATAATAATTAGTTATATATTATAAAAAGTATATCAAGAAAAATAAAAAAAGTAATAACGTATAGATTAAAATAATTTAATAAGTAATATTATTTCTTATATATTTTAACTTTTTTCTTTAGTATAATATAATAAAATAATACTAGTTAGTAGTAACTTTTATTTTATATAATATTATAAACTAATTATATAGATATTTATAAACTTTTTGATATTTGATATGTATTATAACTATTATATTAATTTAAATATAGATCAAATATTATATACTAATCTGAATTAAATTTAAAGATATATCAATCAATTAGAATTCAAATCACAAGAAAGAAAGAGAAGATTAGCTTATATAGAGAGTTATCAAAAGTTTCTGAATGAATTTTTATATAATATAAAACACATAATTTTTAAAACTTAGCCAAAAAAACTTTATTAAAACTTTATTTTAAGCTTATCAAAATCTACATTACATATTATTAAACTAGTATTTAATTGGGCCATCTTCTGCTGTAATTACCATCTGAATTTGTGCTGGCATACTATTGACTAAATTTTTGATCATACATTTCAGAATTGCTTTCCATGTATCCAGTCTCAGCATGCCTTTTTAATGTATTATAAACTGTTGTTTTGCCACATCCAACAGTTTCTGCAATCTGATTATATGAATTACTATTTTTACAAAGATAAAATATAGCATCTTGTTATTTCATGGTTAATTCATTATTTTTTCTTATTGTTGCAGTTGTTATCACAATTTGTAAAAAAAATGAAGTTAGAAAGAAAAATTGAATTAGAAATGTTTTTAAGACAAAATAAACAAAAACAAACCATATTTGTATAATAAACATTACATTTTTTGTATAGCAATTGCATTCCAAAAATCGCTTTCAGAACCTTTTGATAACCCTCTGTAGTAACTTTAAATTAGATAATTTCTGATACTTCTCTTATATATTTTCTTAAATATAAAAATTATTATAATATTACTAATTAATATTATCTAAGATATAAATTATAATATTATATTAAAATTTTGATATTAAGTTTTAAGATTAAAATTAAGATTAAAAAGATGACAAAGAAAAAAAATGTAGTTCAAAATATGCTTTCAGAAATGATAAAAACAACGACAAATGCTATTAATATCCCGGTGCAAACTGAATGGACCAGTTTTTGATAATGATGTTCAAATTGATTATCAAGTGGATCACGAATTAAAACAATATGAAAAATAAAACAAATGAACAAATATTGTCCACTTTACAAGACTCACAATCCTCTCAGTGATGGAGTACACATAAAAAAGAATATACAAATTTTAGCAACTTCAGTACAATCCGAACGGTTATTTTCTGATGCAGGCAACATTCTAACAAAAAAACAAAATTGGATAGATCCATATGATATATTGTTTCTAAAAACTAATTCTCTATTCAATGTTTATCCCGGGCTAGAATAGTAGTTTTAGTTGAATAATAGAAATTATAGTATCGCAATTAAGATAATAATGTATCTAAAATATGTGTTTGATCTATTCGTCAAAATTTAAAACTAGCCCGAATTGTGATAAAACCTTCAATTTTTGAATAAAGATATCGTGACCTTTCATGACGTAAGTCATCAAAAGACCAACGATATGGTATTATTATGATCTGATTGGCTGAAAAATTATATATTGTAAAAAGTTAACCGGTCGACCAGCCCGAGTCATTTTGTTATCAGCCCGGCCATAGGGTTTTCATCAGCCCGTATCACTAATAAAATTTGTACTGTTTAATTCGAACAATCAAATCACATAAATCACGTGAGACCAATTAAATTAATCATTCTCATTCATATTTTATTAGTTTAAAGTGACCTTCATTTACTTTAATTATATCGATTATTCTTAGGGAAGAACAGATTATGATTGGAAATAACATTATCTGTCTTTTTTGTCTTCATTTTGATACTGCTTACATTGTATATTTGAACATGGTTTTCTGCTGTAATCCTAAAAATCCGAACATTCTCTATATTTCTTTTGCAGTTTTTATTAATCAAAATCATACATTCAATAAGGTCTCGTTCTTAGAATGCATGCGTTATTTTAAGATACATCTATAAAAAGCCCACTTGCGCACTCTTCATCGGGTAAAATTGATGATAATTATGATGTTAATAGTGGTGAAAAAGACACTGACTCGGGGTGCTGAGCGGCGAAGTAGTTCTTTAAGAAAGCTTTGAGGAAAATCATCCCGAACATAATATTAATAGAAGAAAAAGTGAAAGAAAAGATGAAAACGAACAACTGCTTGAGGATATGAAAAACTATGAACGCAGCCAGTTTCCTTTGGCGATGTATATTAGGAAATGGTCGATCCGGAGTTATTTTTATAAAACTTTTCTGAAAAACAGGTGCTCTCAAAATAGTTAATTATATAAAGACGAGAATCTGCTAAAAGAAATGCTTAACTAATCAAGATCTATCTCGGACCCCTTTTAGAAGTTCAGGGAATTTACACACAATTCGGCGTACTTAATGAAGCTTTTTATCTTTACAGTCACACCTCTCTATAATCACCCAATTTTGCGTTTCCAAGTACGGTGACTATAGAGAGGTTTAACTGTTTTTTTACATCTCTTGCCGGAAGTTCTTTGCGATAAGAAATAGTATCACGAAAGCGGAGAAACAGCTGATACAAAAGATCTGGATATGGAAATATACAGGTAAGCATTTTGCGTTGTGATTCATCTTGACTGATTTATATTATAGTACCGATACACAATTCGTAATATACAGACATCATATTGGTCCTATGCGTATTATATGTACTGTATATATTAGCGTAAGCCTATGCGTATTATTTGTACATGTATATATTAGCGTGGGAGGATGTTGTGCTAAAGTTACAGACGTCATATTGTCCTATGCGTATTATATGTACATGTATATATTAGCGTGGGAAGTTCCGTGGAGATGTTGAGCCAAAGCTACAGTACCGTATTACTAGAAAGGCTGAAAAGAGGAAAAAATTGTTTAATATATAAATCGGTTAATAATTTTAACAATAATAGAATGCCGAACATAATTTCCAGATGCATGTACTGTAAAACCAGATCATCATAAACTACGTCAGACTATAAACAAACGGGACTGGTTGATTTATGCAGAGGTCAATTTTAGTTTATCGTTATGATTATTTCATATACATGTATTATATTTTTATTTTCACTTTTATTTCACTTAAGTATTAGTTTCCCGTTATGTTGTTAAGCAAAGCTAAATAAAAAAAGAAAATAAAAAAATTATGCTTTCTTTTCTTGAATTGTGTGTGTACATGTATATGACTAATTTTTTTCTTTTTTCTGGTAAAATTTGCGTTGTTTAACATGGTTATCGTGAGACGTATCTTATCATGACACGATTTAGCCAGTATTGGAAATTTCGAAGTCAGAGGCGTTTGTTTATTATATGTTATCATTGTGCGCTGATTTTATCTGCTTTACTCACATCGTGGGAATAAACACAAGCGCAGAATAAATTTACACAATTAAATTATTGTTTCAACTTAATAATATATAATAAAATAAAATGAAAAAGTAGATTTCCTTGCTATAAAAAGAATTGCGTTTTAAAACTTCTTTTAGTTATATTTTCGCAGCTATAAAAGAATTGCGTTTTAAACTTCCTTTTAGTTGTATTTTCGCAGCAAATATGCTTATTTTAAGAATGATCGAGTTTCTATTACGACCATTACATTTCTGGTGCACCAAAAATAAAGCTAAGCTCTCGCTTGTTGCTGTGTCATTTTTATTAGGATTTGGTTTTTATTTCGTATGTTGAGCATCACTGTTTTTTGTTGGTATTATTATTACTAATCAAAGTTTAATAGGGTATAAAATATCAAGAATATATTCAAGAGACTGCATTCAGAGGTTTTGTGGATGCAACGAATAAGAATTTATTTGATCTAGGCTTTCCAGGTATTCTATCTTTACAATATCATTTGATGATACAATCACTCCTATCACCCTTTTAACATAATGGTTTTTCAAAGAAACATCAGCGTATACTCAGCACTTGGTCGAATTATATGATCTTGCTGATGCTTTAAGACAAAGCAACGAGATACAACAAAATGGTCTACTTATTTCCGGTTCTCTTAACGGTTTAGCTGATGATCTTAAAGTTGCTGAAGAAGAGATAAACGACTTTCGACACAAATCATCAGAAGTCGTTATTAATTTACAATTTAAAGTGACATTATTCTACGACATATTAGATGTTGTAAAATCATCAGATGAAAATGAAACCTATTTCTACGACACATTTATTCCCGACCTTCTCGTTGAACAATTTTATAAAATGATCACTTATTGGGATGATGAAAAAAATTTCTCAGGATTCATTCGACGGCAATTAAAAGTTCTGGAACTCGTCTTTCGAGAGTTAAAAGGACAATTAAATAAGATGATTAATTCATTCAGTAAGGTTAAACTTGATGCTAGAAATCTTTCCTTTTATCTGCTAAATGCTGAGAGAGAAGCTGAGGGTGCAATTAAAAACTATTGGGCTGAAAGTTTCATCGATCATTGCAAAATAATCAGGGCGGAAAAGGAATTAAGACAAGTTCGCCAAATGAAAAAATTCACTAAGTCATTAGTTGCAAATTTGAATGAATTTGATCACTACCTGAGAGATTACCAGCGCAAGCTATTCGATGTCGAGACAGACATAGTTTATACACGTGCTTTGAAAAAACTATCAAAGGGGTTGCTTAATTATTTGAAAACTTCCGCCAATCAATTCCAGAAAACACATCGATTATTTGATATCGTCGAGAAGAAAATAGGCGGTAGTTAGTCGATGTCATTAAAAAATACAACAACTTTAGAATACGAAGAAGTATACAGTTCATCATACATACCTCCATATCCGGGTTTAATTTATTAATGTAGGTGTGTAAAGAAAGAAAAGATCAAATAAAAATAAACTCAACTTGTTAATTATTCATTGGATTATCTTAAAACTTATCTTCTGTACAGTAATAGAGGATCTTTCACCATACTTCGAATTTTTATATTGTTTTAGCAGAAAATAAAGTCCAACCTTGATTATTTTGTTGACAGAAACTAAGACAAACCTTTGTAACATTATAAGATTAATATGCGTACAAATTATCACAAGAGACCTTCAGACATTTTGAGACACCATTCACATGTACTTGTAAACAGTTCAGTCAAAAACTCAACTTTACCTTGTTATCGAGTTTCAATTATTGTATGTGTATGTTCCTGGCACAATGCATAAATTCAATATACACTCAATATACTCAATACAGTCGACGCTTGATTTACCGATTACCCGACTTAACAGAATCGTAATTAACGTTCCTTTCTCCCTTATCACCATATTGAAACTGCGCTTAACTTACCGATAACTATTAGTATTCCCTTGATTTTACGGTTTAACGAGGTCTTGAAATATCATTACCGATCATTCGGTAAATCAAGAGTTGAGAAATAAAACTTTGTTAGCATATTTCGATAAAAGTTTTAATATTTTATAAAATATGATGTCTGGTGATATCACAGCACCAAGATAAAACTAGTCCTTAATCCTATCTAACCGAAAATTGCGTGATCACATGACTGCGTCCTTCGATTATTAGTGCTTGGATTAAAATTTGTTGAGATGGATGGATGGCACCATATAAGGTTTAAAAAGTTGAAATGTAGGAATTCATTGAATGCAGATAAATGAGAAGAAACATTCTATTCCATCGAGTATACAGTCTTCTAAAATTCATTTCTTCATTTGAATAAGCTCATTAATTTGCACCAAATTCAATGATGTTAAATTTGCTGTGAAATAACGAAACACATCACAATGTATAAATCACATCAAATCTGCGCGGATATCAACCAATTTATTTACATAAAATCCTTAAGAGTTTTACAAATGGAAATTCACATATGAGTTCAAGCAAACATAAATATCGATTTGGATCCATGAAATACAGTATAACATTTAGTAAGTTAACAAACCCAGTCAATGCAATCATATCAATCCAAACAAACATGCTATTCCAATTTTTGCGAGATTTAGCAATTCCGATTTATTTCAACCAAAGAAATACTCATCCTATAGAACACAAAAAGCCAATCAATATCGTAACAACAAGCGCAAAACTAAAAAAATGAAACCTAACTTGCTGATAAGATTCATAGTTTGAGAAATATCAACGGAAGTGATTCAACTAAAAACAACGACGATATTATTGTAAAGAATTTAAAAGAGTTGTCGGCGATCAAAAATATAGCAGAACATCACCAGCGCGAGCAAAGCTGAAAACAAGAAACTGTCAACAAAATAGAGATAAAATTTGGTTTGATCAGATGAACTCTCATTTCATCCTCATTAAAAAAATGAATTATAAGACTGTCGGACTTAGATTATCATGTAATATTGTCAAAATTAGATCATAAAATGGTTATAAATCCTTTCAGAATTTACGTCAATTTTTTCTTGTACATAGAGATGGCTGTGAACTGCATAAAAAAAGGAATTGAAAATATAGTACTTAAAGTAATTAGGAATAATTGATAATTTTTTTATTTAGTTCGTTTTTCATAAGATTTATGAATAAATTGTTGTGATATGTCACGTGAAATTATAATGTGACTCTGAAAAAACATATAGATTAATAATATCAATATTTTCTGAGAAATTCGATTTCGATATTATTATGTGAACCGGACAATATCAAATACATTACTATGTTTGATATATTATGATATGCCCAACAAACGAAATCCCGAATGCACGAAAGCCCAGTATCGCAATGATTTTAACATTCCGTGCATTTGGGATGTTATAATTTCGGGGTTTCGTGCATTCGGCATCCTTTCTTTCGGATTTCGTTTATAAACATACCGTATGCTCACGAAATAACGTTATTTCGAATGACGGCCCGCATTAAGCTTGATTCAGGCCGATGATTTTTTGAACACTTTAGTTTTTGGTTAATTGAAATAATTTGAATCATCTATAAGTCTTGTTAATTAGTCTTTTTGCTGTTGCTCATTAGAAACCTCCTCGAATTACATTTTATTATTGGAAATTTCGTTTGTTAAGGTCGATTTGCATACAAGTCACCAGGAAACTTTTAGAATATTAAAGAGATCCGTTAATAGTAAATTATTCTACATTTACAGTCGCCACGCCCGATTTGCGTGTGTCACAACATAGGTAAATATATGCGTCGCGTTTTCCCATTTTTTGTTATTGTTGACACTAATTTTTTTATTATTTTCTTCTTTTACTTTTAAACATACACTAGGTGAAATTTTTTTAGGTGTAAATATGATACCTGTCGTACCAGTAGGCCATCTTTGACAAAGATAAAAATAGTGATTATTATGAAGTTATGAGTGCCAAGCAAGTTGCAAGAAAAATGTGACAGAACCCAGTAAGAGTATAATGATTTCTTGCCAAGTACAAAAGAAACGGGAAAACAAAAAATTTACCACTGTCTGAGAGACCATAAGCTCATAATGATCAAGAAAAAAATGCATATATACAAGAAACTAAAAAAGTCATCCTGAGCCATTTCACAACATTGGTAATAAAAAATCTGTGCAAAAACTTACCTGAAGATTCTCTAAGGTAATTTGATCCATTTTCATAATATAATTTATTTATTGCAGCTTGCTTGGCACTGATTTACTCTTTGAATTTATTTCATTTTTTTCCCTAATGTAGAACAAGTTTTATTTTTTTTTAGAACATCATGTTCAGAAAAATGTGTTGTAACCCGATGATAGTGTAATGGTCTCTTGCCAAGTACAAAAGAGATAGGAAAAACAAAAATTTATCACTGTCTGGAAGATCATAGGCTTTTAAAAATCAAGAAAAAAAATGCACCTATACAAGAAGTAAAAAAAGACATCCTTGAGCCATTTCACAATATTGATAATAAAAAAATTTGTGCAAAAGCTTATCTAAAGATTCTCTAAGGAAATTTGGTCCCTGTTCATAATATAATTTTTCATTGGTTTGAGAGAACATGATTTTTCAAAAAAATAAAACTTGATCTATATTAGGAAAAGAAGTCATGAATAGAATCAAATAGAGAAATCAATGAATATTATGTTCTCATGACCCAAACTTCATAGAAATATCTCCAAGTCATCAGAAAATAATATTCTAAAATGTATAAGCTTCCCAAGGATCACAAAAAAGCTCAAGACTACTCTGAAGGAAATTTGATATATTGGCTTTTTAGGAGGTTGTAGGCTCAATATCTTGAAAAATCAAAGTGATATTAGAGCTATATGAAGAGCTAATAATTTATTAGCTATTAATAAAAATATTTTTATATTCATACAACAGAAATAAAGTAAATCCAAAATTTTTTTTAAAAATTGGGTGTTACTTTTTGTGGTGATTGTACATGTAGCTACTAGTGTATGTGTAATACTATAATAGTAATCTATTTACATGTATATATCATATACATATATTCTATAATTTTATTAGTTTAACTTTGTATTTTATTAATATTTAATATTTAAAGTTTATGATATTTTTGTGATTTATAGATGAGATACACTATAGAAAAAATTAAATATATGTATCATTACAGAGTATTTATTGAGTATAATCCAAAAACTGAAATAAATGCTATCATATTGATATTAGTTTCAAATTTTTCAGAGTGTTGCAAAAATGAGTGAAATAATATTTGTATGATGCAGGTCACTTATAGCAATTTTAGTCAATTTTGAAGTCTTATAACTTTATATATAATGATAGAATAACAATTTAACATTATATTTATAATAGAATGATTATTTGAGTTTTATTATTTATAATTTCAAATTTTATATTTATTAAAAATATTTTGTGTTATAAGATTTTAAAAACAGGAGTCTTATTAATAAAATTAAAATTTCAGACTCATCTCTTATGAAATTCTGATATATACTCATATAATTATATTATGATAATTCCAAACTTTCTTGATAAGTATATATATATGTGCTAATAATTATTATGGATTTATTTTTTTCAACTAATATCACATCCTAGCAAAGCTAAACATACTGCCTAACAGCATAGAGAAAATAAAAAAGAGAGATTTACAATCTCTGAAATAACAAAGAGACTATTGATCAATAAAACTAGTAATAATATGAAGAATTTTTTTAGTGAAAAAATCAATGATATAAGCAAAAATGTGAAAGAGTTTTTGAAGGATAAGATGAAGTTAAATATTAATAAGAAATCAGATAATAATAATAATACTATTAAAAATAAATAAGATAATAAGAAAGATAATAACTGGAAATTAGAAAATGATATTGAAAAAGGAAGAAAAATTCAAAATCATTTATTTAAATATTAGTTTAGATTTAATTTGAAATACAAATACAACAAATATAATTCAAATAGGTTATGAACAAATATATCTAAAGAAATATTTAAAATTATCATAAAATCCTAATAATAAATAATCTTCTATATCATTATTTTAGAATCAAATTTTAAGAGATGTTACTTATTTTTAGATTCTTTCTCAATACTTAATTTTTATTAGTCTAATTCTTATAAATATAATGCCAAATTATATAATATTATAATAGTAATATTATAAAAGATTAAAAAAGAAATCCAAAAGTCAAATAGTATTATAAATATAATATAATATAGAATATTTATTATACAAATTTTTTTTGAATGCTTTGTAACTTCAAGTTACATAATTCTAAGATATATTTTTCTTATCTAAAAAATGAATAATATTATTAATATTTCTAATAAATTATTTAAAATTAAAAAATAATTACAAAGAGCATTATATATAACTTCTAAAAAACTTGCTATTATTTATAAATTCAAAAAAATTAATATCTTAGCTGCAAAATATCATTTTAATATTAATTAGTTAATAATATCATGATGAATATCTAATAAAAAAAGCTTGCTAATATCATACCAAAAAACTAATATATTAATACCAAGAGATTCTCAATATATTCTGCTGCTAAAGAACTTATTACATGGATAAAAAAACTTTATCAATTAGAATTACTATAATAGCTAGGACTATTAAAATATAAATAACTATTATTCTTACAATAACTTGTGCAAATACTTATCTAAATATCTCTGATAAATTTTATACTTTCAAATCTTGATTTTATCAGTTTTGAAGAGATATAATCTTTTTTTAATATTATACTAAGATTAGCCAGCAATTATTTACTAATTTTAATACAAAAACTATGGAATTTCAAAAATTTGTCATCCAATTCTATCAAAAATATTAATATAATCTTTTTTAAATTGTCAATATGAATGAAACTATAATTTATTTTAATATGACTAGTTTTATTATAATTAATAAAAAAAATATCAAAACAATTTAAATTTAAATAATTAGTAAATAACAAAAACCAATTTATTTATATATTAGCTATTATTACTAATGATAATAAACTGTTATTTATAGTTATTTTTAAGAATGTAAAGATATCTTCTAATTTTTCTAAAGATATTATAATTCATATATATAAAAAGGCTTGAATAGACAAAAATTTAATATATGAATAGATAAATAATATTTAGAATAAGCAAATTAGAATCTCAATAACAAATAAAGCTCTCTTATTTTTTATTATAAATTTATTTGAAGGATATAAGACTGATTTAGTTTGTCAAAAATATAATGTTATTAATATATATATATTATAATCATTTCAGATAATTTAATATTTATTATTCAGTCTTTAGATATATATATTAATAAATTATTCAAAGATAAGTTATGAGAAAAATAATATTTATAAATAAATAAAGAAGAGTTTTAATTAACAAAAGATAGAAATTTAAAAAGATTAGAATATTATTTAATTTGTTGGTAAATTTTAGAGATATAAAATGATATTTTAACAGAAATGATTTTTAAATCATTTAAAAAATATAATATTTCTAATTCATTAGATAACTTATTATATAATTCTGATATAGAAATTAATTAATTAGATCAAAATGATAATTTAACTAAGATAGTTGATCAAAATAATATTTTAGCTAATGAATTAGAAAATAAATAAAATAAAATTAATTTTTTAAAAATTATTACCAAAAAAGAGGGTTGTTTATTCAATTTTTCTAGGACTTTTAGATCTAAAGAGAGAGAAATTGATTATTTTAGAAGGTTGCTTATTATTGAGACTTTATGATACTTAATTTTTTGATATATCAGAAGTGATAATGGCAATATTATGGAAGAACCAATTAAAATATCAATATTATTGCTGATAGTAATACTAATAGTAATATTAATAATAATAGTATCAATAGTAACTCTAATAATAGTATCAATAATAATACTAATAATAGTTCTAATAGTAACTTGAATGGTAATATTGATAGCAGCTCTAATAATAGTAGTAATAATAATAATACTAATAGCAATATTAATAATAATTCTAATAGCAGTATTAATAATAATATTAATAATAGCTTTACTAATATTAATATTAAATTCCAAAATTAAATAAAAATTAGAAATATTAAAAGATAAACTTAAATTTCTTTACAAAATAATATCTATCAATAAATAAAAAATATGCCATTTATGAATATCTTGTTAGAACAAAAATAAATGACATGAAAAAATAATAGCAAATAAAAAGATGACAAAAATAATTTATTTATCTTATAATTCTTTAAATTTTATAATATTATAAATATTATCAAATACTAACTATAACATAACTTACTTCTATTTTTTCTGTAAGATCAATATCAGAAAACAATTTGATTAATAGATGACAAAGATATTATTAACAAATATTAATAATGAATTAGAAGTCAAAATAGTAATATAATATTATATACTTTTAAGAATTTCATTAAATAATAATTAATTTCTAATATAAAAATTACAAAGAAAAAAAGATTTCAATATCAATTGCATGATATTGGCTTAATATTTTGTAATACTTTCATCAATTACATAAATAAGAAATTTATTATAATAGTTATAAGTATAAGAATGTGATTCAATATTAAAAATTATTTCTTGAGAAAATAAAAAAATATAAGCATTTGATAGCAACTTATAAAAGAGAAAATATGTATCAAATTCTATTATAATTAAAAGAAAATAAGCATGAATATATTTTAATTATTTATAATGAATGTATATTTTATTTTAATAATGAAAAGAGAAATATTTAGAAAATTATTATTATATAAAAAGAGAAATAGAAAATCAATTATGATTAGTGAATTTTTAATTGAAAATTAGAGATTTTTTTATTTAATATTAGATGAAATTTTATCAAATTCAATCATTTCAAAAGAAGTACATGTATATTTAAAGTCAGGAAAAAATAAAGATGGTTATTAAACAAGTTAACATTTAGTTAACCAAGTAGAATTAAAAATAATTTCAATATTTGAAACAATATTTTCTGAGTGTGTTGGAGTTTTTATATTTGATAGCAGTACAAATTATGCAGTATTTATATCAGACACTCTTATTGCAAAAAGAATAGATATTGGATCTGGAGGTAAAAATATTTCAAAAATTAGAGATACAAGATGGAGATCTAATAATTAACTTCAAAAAATGAACTTTGATAATGAATAACTAAAAGGCATCAAATAAATTTTAATAGAAAGAGAATTATGAAAACAAAATATAATTGATGAATACAATTTATGCCATGAAAGAGCAAATAATCTTAATTATATCAATTGTTGCTAAAAAAAATTATTTCTCTTCAACCAGATTTTTTAGTACAAAAAGATGCTTTGGCTAAAATAATTGAAAAAGAGGCCATCCATATTTGTATTTTTCTTCCTAAATTTCATTGTGAGTTAAATTTTATTGAAAGATATTGGAGGGCTGCCAAATGATTTGCAAGACAAAATTGTGATTATTCTTGAAAAGAATTGCAAGAAATTATTCCAAAAGCATTAGTTTCAGTTGATTTAATTTAATAACTATTTGTCAATTTGCAAGAAAATCATGGAGTTATATGAATATATATAGACATAAATAACAGTAAACTTGCTGAATATGCAGTAAAAAAATATAAATCACAGAAAAATACCAGAACATCTTATCAAGTATTTAAATAAAATTACAATTTAATTTTGAAATAACTATCTATAGTAATTAAATATATAATAATATACATTATGTATAATTAAAAATTATAATTTTTTGTTATGTAATAAGCAAAAAATTTTTTGCCACCTATCGGCGGCAATTTTATAAATTTACTTATAAATTTACATAAAAATCACATGCTAATATCAAAAAAAATTTCGGACTAATGACACTTTTAAGTGACCTGCACCATATGTATTATTTAGTGAATGTGATGTGGATTATATGATTATGCGAATATAATTTTCTGAAATAAATTCTAGGTCAGGTTCAATGTCTGGTGGTCCTATCCGTAGAGCATCACAAGCTTTACAATTGAGTCTTCATTCGCTTTCCAAAATTGTCTTTTCAATATCATTTCTTTCGGAAGTAATTTTGATCCTTATTTAAAGCTGCTTTATCTCATATTGAAAGCATTCAAGCTGATTATGGAGGAACAGAAATAAAAAATGTTCTCGAATGGTTAGTTAAGAATACTCGTAATGATATGGCAACCTCTGTTTTCTTATTAACAGATGGTAAAATAGACAAAATAATCCAACTGGTTCAGAAAACTAATTTTCGACTTTTCTCTTTAGGAATTGGATCCAACGTTTCACATCATTTAGTAGAGTCAGTTGCTCGAACGGGGATAGGTTACTCACAGTTTGTCACCGATGAAGAATGAATGGATAAAAAAGTTATTGGAATGGTCAAAAACGCAATTAAAAATGCGTTAACTGATTTTAAAGTTAAATGGATTGACGACAACATGCCAACATCGGTTATTCCAATTCCTTGGAATTCGTCGGAAAAAAATGAAATCAAGTTTTGTCAAGCGCCCAATTCTATTCCTGCTATATATTTGGGTGTGCGTGTAATATTTACGTGTTTCTAGCAAAAGATGTTAAACCTAAAAATGCGATAACCCTTTCAGCACAATACTTGGATGGCCCGATTAAACTTAATGTTAAAGTAGATCCAATAACTCTTCAGGATCGAAAATACATACCTTGGCTGCTCGGGAATTAATTCAGGATTGGAAAAAGAAACTTCAAAGCTGCATGTGGATTCCAATAGAAAAAGTTCCTGATGATCTTGTTAAAGAACAAATCATTAATTTAGGTAAAATCGTTACATACTTTTATTCTTTTATGTAAAACATACTTATTAATATGATTTTCAGTTATTACTTTCAGTCTTGCATCAAACATACATGTACTTTTAACTAAAGTACATTTGATTTCATACACATATACTTTTTGTATTAATATTTTTAGTACTTAACATCTTAGTTTTCTCAGAAGTGAGACTCTTAAACAAAAAGAGTTGTTCCGGGACAACTAAGAGGGAGGGGGTTTGTGATCAGATCTTCGATTAGCTATCGAAAAAGATCGAAATCTATCTTTCGCTATACTCCAACGAAATCTTCAGTTAGTCGTAAAAGTGAGTTTAGAACTTTTTTTATCGAATTAATCAATGTTATTATTTATTAATAAATTCTGATAGGAGCAAAAAAACACTAAGATCGGTAGCGAACGCGTCAATAAAATCAGATAAAGAGAGTTCAGAGGAAGTAGATTTTACAAACACAAAATCAAGAGCTGTCACAATCATTTGATATAAAAGTACCAACTATTGAAACATTAAATATGGTTTTTTAAAAAATCAATCGTTCGATGGAAAATTCGTTGCAAAAATTCCAAATTCTCGAGCTTGTTTTCCGGACATGATTCCAAGAAAAATGACGATTTAGTATGGACGACGGCTGTAACTACGTCTTATTTGGAAATTGTGATGAAGGAATTTAAAGAGGAATGGGAATTATATTATGAAAAAGCAGAACGCGCATTAGTTAAATTAATCAGTGAAAAGGATAAAAATAGCAAAGTTGAGACTATTTTATCGGAAACTCGTGAATGGGAACAAAGGTGGCTTGTAAATGAATTTAACACTTAATTGTGTTTGTTTTTATTTATTGTGATTACATGTCCTTAACTTTTTGTATCCTTAACTTTAAATAAATTGTTATATTTAAGTGTAATAAAATTACTTCATTTTTGTAAGTTCTATTATTGTGATTTATATCACATGCTTATAATTTAATTGGTCGGAATTTACAATGGAGATTTAAAATATACTAAAACCTTAGCTAATGTATCTTCATTGTATCAGGGATTTTGTACGTAAAAAATCGCTTATCTGTTATTACATGTATAACAATAAGGAAATGACGTAAAATTACCATCATATGATCGATGGGTGTAATATCGATATAAATAATGATAATGCACGCATGCACAGGTTTATTTTGCATTCATTGTTTTTTTAATGGGACAAAATCCTTCAACTAAAAAGCAGCAGATACAAGGTTTTGAGGACACCGTTTTTCCAAGTATTATTGAATATTTAATTTATTGAAATTTTTTTTAGAGGATGATTTATCTAACTACTCGCCTGATGACGACTATAGTGGCACAAGGCGTTAACAATTAAGCACAGCATCCGTATTGTTCGACCTTAAGTCGAAAGGGCTTACTACTCCTGAAAAATTCGTTGTATGGTGGAACGATAAGCATCCAGATTGTCAAATCAAAGTTGATTCTCTTATGTCATGGACTTATCGCGATCCTTCCGAATATAATATAAACTGGCACGAATATGGAGATTAGAATATACCAGAGCTTAATCAAAATTTCCTACGCCATTTTTATGGACCAATTTATTTACACATTTTTCATAATAAAGTACTGTAAATTTTCACAATTTAAATATGGATATTGAATTTCAAACTAATAACGAGCAAACATTCAGAGTCAATAACTATGAAATTTATTGATAAATTGGTTTCGATTTTCATCTTGTGTAATGTCTAATGGCCGGCTATGTTGATAGCCCATGCGGTTAATAATTTCAGTTTTACCTTTTGCTTCACTTCTAAAAAAGTTAATATATGTTTTCCAACGGTATTCTCTCGTCGAAGCATTGTATTTGAATAAGCAATTGTTAATGTGTGGAATCCGATAAATACATTAAATGAGGTATAATCAAACCTTTTAAGTTGAATTATTTGTAACATTGTTTGTAATACCTATTCGCCGTCCAATTATGCGTAATCCTGCCCATATATCGTTTGTTAGCTGTTCGATTTTTAGCCATTTTTCCACACCGAAATTGGTTTGAAAATCACCAATCTATTATTATATTAACTGAGAAAATGGCCATTTTCCGCCGCCTCCTTGATACTTCCTCTAAAATTTCGTGTCCGAAAAATTCCTTCCATGAAGACCCAAATGCTTCTATACCCCAAAATGGTCCAGTTATTTCCAATTACTGTTAAAGGTAGTTGAATGTCCAAAAATAGATGCATCAGACCACCAAAAAGACGAGAAAAGCAAGGAAAGACACAACAAAAAGGAACGTGGCAATAGGGCAAGTTACAAACAAAAAACTAAGGTCATAGGGAAAGTCGTGATAATTAAACACATGGCCAAAGCCACAATAATCCAGAAATAAAGTCCACATAGTTTTGGTTAATAAAAAATTCAAGTTATTAAACATTGGTTTTCGCAATTTATTAAAGCCAACTGTTTATCAACTTCACGTAGCTGAAGAATCTTGCAGATCCAAGTTCAGAGGTAATTCGGTAAACTCATTAAATACCGCGAACTTTTTGAATCATCAAGTGTGATATGATGTAATCCAATTTAAGTTATCATTTAAAAAATAAAACTTAAAAAAATTTAAATAATCAAAGTAAAGTGTTTTTATCCAAGTGATTATAAATACCGTACCATTCCTATTTTGTAAAGTATCTCCCAAAAAAATAAACTAATTAATTTTATTAGTACGGATGCCGTTCGCTCGTTAAAACGTAGGAAATTTTGTAGGAATTTAAGGTTTCATTACACATTACTTACAGGCGTACAAAATAAAGAATTTCGTTACACTCCAGAATATTCCGTAATCACGAAATTTTTTCGTTGCAATAGCAACAATAAAATAAATCTATTAATATTTATTTAATTATTTAATATATTATCCTTAATGATGAGTATGAAGTCCTGACATAATGCGACAGGAGCGTACCTTAACATGACTAATTATTCGAAGCAGATGAAGATATTTAATGCATGTACATGTACCGTCACAGGTGGGCTGGAATTGTGTGGATTTGGGGAAATTTGTGCACTGTGACGGTGGGTGGGAGAGGGCGATTAGACTAATTTTACCTGTTGGTCTAAATCCTGTGCCGATATCTACGGATATCGTTCAATTTGGGCTTTTCCAAAGATGAGTAATTGAGTAATTATGGGGAAGGGTAAAGGGAATTTTCGGTTATTAATTATTAACTATTCTACTCTTTTTAACCATATGCTTTTTCTAGATAAAAGCCTTAAACTTGGATCAATCAAATCACTCAATCAATGATGCATTTTGCCTTTTCTGGAATAAAGAACCTAATCCAATTTGTCATCTTTTCTGGTAGCCAACATGTTAGAATTATAATTATAATGGAGCAATTTTTACAAGTATTTCTCTTGAAGAAAAGGTTTTGTATGCAATTTTATTTCTATTTATTTAAAGATCTGAGAGCCATTTGTTCATACATTTTGTTATCTTTTACTATATATAAAAAAATTATTATTCTAATTCTTGCTAATTTCTTTATTACATTAATAGATTGGATAGTGGTAAAGGATTACTAAAGAAAGAGCGGCATGGTCTATTATACTGAAGAACATGAATGATTGTGCTAAAGAATGCTGGAAAAATGGGGAAAGTCATCATGATATAAATTATCGACAATGTGTGCTGAAGAATATGGAAAAATGGGGGGGGAGAAATTATCACGATCTATGGTATCGACAATGTGTACTAGAAAATGTGAGAAAATAAGGGCGCAATACGATCTCGTGTGCTGAAGAATGCAGCGATTAAGGGGTGCGGGCACGGTTATAAACGCGATGCTGGATAATGCTGAAAAACAGGGGGTCAGAAAGTATGCAGTGTTGTGGCGATCGGGACTATCCTCTTCATGATTTCCGGAATTGCTGAGTTTAACGAAATAATTGTAACATTAGAGATGGGCATAGTACGCATATGCGCATAGTATATACATGCAATACGCATAATGATCTACATGTACATCAAATACGTCATGATGATTTTATTTTTCATTATCATTACCATCCTGATATCACTTTCATTATTATCCTGATATTTGCTTTCATCACGCTCATTACCAGCATAATATTGATTGACACTTATTTCATCATTAATGCTTTTTTTTGATTATCTGGAGGAGTTTGTAATTTATAATTACTATAAATATAAACTAATTTAAAAACATGCTTACTACTTAACCAATTTCTTTTTTTGTTATGAATATTTGCAAATGCTGACCAGTTACATTCAGAAGCTGCAGATGATGTTGGAATTGTTAAGATACATCATGCTAATTGTGTTAATTCAGGCACTGCTTGTGCAAAATTCACAATCCACCAAGTAATAGATCAATATTATCAATGCATCCCCATGCTAATGTATTTTATATTGCATAAGTTGACTTCCAGGTGAATTGGCATTGAGTGAACTTGTATTAGTAATTTCTGGATTTTCAAAGCTCATGCCAACAAATGATCATTTAACTTCAATTGAGGCATTTGGACATACACGCAGATGTGACTTACACTGAATTACTGAATTATTGCATTGATATTAGGGATTTTCACAGTATTTGCATTCTGCACACTGTTGTCAAAATTCCACAATATGACCAATTTGATTAAAATGTTCCCATATAAAACTTCAAGAAGCCATAATGATAAAATATGTACAACAATAAAGATGCAGATGTTTATTGTTATCATTATACGTATGTTCTGTATAAATGCGTTGGTTTATCATTATTTATTGAGTACAAATGCCTTAATTGGTGATGATTTATGAACTTAATGGGCATTTACGATATCGGTTAGTAGCTATGCGCATAATGCGCATAGGCAAATCTCTAGTAACATTACATATACAATAGATACCGACACAATAATCAAGGCAAAGCAAATTTTTCTTAAACAGGAATTATACGTACATCTACATGCATAACAAAATTGGTGTGTTACAGTCAGCATTTTTAATTTTGATCCTGTCTGAATACTTTCTTCAGTGGTGTACATGTACGTGCACTGTTAATTATTTGTCCTTTGTTACGGAAGAATGATCTCATATAATAACATTTGACGTATAAGTTCTCTCATCCTCTTTGAATATATCTTAAATATATGGCAGATATAGAATCAAACAATGAAATCGAAGAGTTTATTCAATCGACACCAGAAATTGAAATAATTCCTTTCGAAGGGTTTATTAAAATTGAGAAAATGGCCAAGGGAGGATTTGGTGAAGTATACAAAGGTTGTTGGAATAAGAAATGGGTTGCATTAAAATCAGTTATGACAATAAAAGAATTATTACATGAGGTAATTAATTATTAAAGATAGTGTCTAGATAAGTATGCGAAACCTAATTCTGTAGTTATTTATTCACCTTTGATTTTAATTTTATAATATTAATTCAATGGAGGCTAAATTGACCAATAAATGTGTAAAAAGACGGTAAAAAATTTATTTTAAGCTTTATTAGTTTATCTAATATCTATTAATAATCATACCTTTTTGATTAGTTATAATTCAAGCTGTAAGAAGTTAACGATTTTATTTTACGTTTACATTTTAATTTTATTTACATTTACCTAATCTATTATTCTATCTTTATTTTAGGGAGTAAGAAATCAATTTTATATTATATTTGCGTTTTTAATATTGATTTAACTAATCCATTATCTTGTCCTTTATTAGTTAGTAAGAAATCAACGATTTTATTTTTATATTTTAATTTGATTTTTTTGATATTAATTTATTTAATTAATCCATTATTCTATCCTTTATTTAGATGGTAAGAAATCAATAATTTTATTTCACATTTCATTTTAAATCATTTTATTAATTTATTTAACTAATCCATTATTCTATTTTTTATTTAGATTGTAAGAAATCAATGATTTTATTTAATATTAATTTACTAATCCCATTATTCTATCCTTTATTTAGATTGTAAGAAATCAACGATTTTATTTTACATTTTTATTTTAAATTTATATAATATTAATTATTTAACTAATCCCATTATTCTATCCTTTATTTAGATTGTAAGAATTCAATATTTTATTTCGTATTTTCATTTTAAATTTAGTTGATATTAATTTATTTAACTAATCCATTATTCTATCCTTTATTTAGATTGTAAGATATCAAATATTTTATTTTATTTTTTCATTATGAATTTATTTGATATTAATTTATTTAACTAATCCCATTATTCTATTTTTATTTAGATTGTAAGAAATCAATATTTTATTTTATTTTTTTATTGTAAATTTATTTGATATTAATTTATTTAACTAATCCATATTCTATCTTTTATTTAGATTGTAAGAAATCAAATAGTTTATTATTGAAATTTTATTTAATGCTAATTTATTTAACAAATCCCATTAATCTATCCTTTATTTAGATGGTAAGAAATCAACGATTTTATTTTATAGTTCATTTTAAATTTATTTGATATTAATTTATTTAACTAATCCCATTATTCTATCCTTTATTTAGAT